GGTGGCCAGTGTTTTTTTCCTTTGTTCTGGGCAAGCTTTTTATTTTACTCTTAAAGAATGATACTTTTGAGGCTGATTTGGGGGTTGGAGGATTTTTTGTAGCATTCATTTTGAAAGTAACAATAGACAATGGCAAGGCTTGGATTTTGGTGAGACGAAGATGAAGTGGTATTTAGAACTATGGTGGCTTGTCTCCAATACAGGTGAGGGTGTATAGCTAGTGCTTGATTTTTAGCAAGCACGTGCACCTCTGATTAGCTTAACTATATATACTAGTATATACATCTATAGTGTAGTTGTAGTTCTTTGACTTTGACCTGAGATATATAAATTCAAATATAAAATTATATTTGTCATATTAGCTTTATATATTAGCTTTAAACACAAACTATATTAGATATGTAGTTTATAGTATATATTGTATATATATATATAGTATGTGTAATACATATATATAACAGTATAGTAATATATACTATAAATACATATATACTATAAACATACATTATATAGCATACTATATTAGTATAATATATATTATATAGTACATGATATAGCAATTAAACTAGCTTTATGACTCTAAAGCTTAAGATTTATTTTATCTCCTTGAGAGATATTTTTATTTTATCATGTGGGATTGAAGGAGTACATTGTTTAATAGTGGAGAAAGCACTGGAGTAGAGGTTGGGGGTTACTGCTTGTGGTCCTGATGTTACTCATAACTGGATGTTACTCAGGATCTCTCTCTCTCTCTCTCTCTCTCTCTCTCTCTCTCTCTCTCTTTATCTTGACTTGAGAGGATTGGAGTCAGTCTTAAAGGGTTTTTCCCAAGATGTATTTCAGCTTTGCAGGAGAGTTTCAGCAGCAGTCTCAGTGGCTTTCAGTTGTTAGAAAAGATGCACCTAGCCCTGGCATCTTCAAATAGAAAGTCCCCTGGCGCTCTTCTTTCTATTTCTCTCCCAGGGAAGGAGTCATGGGGTTTTCCTTCAGAGATCACAGCTTTTGAGCTGTGGTCTTTTCCTTTATTGTCTCACCATCATTTGGGTTTAGATCCTGAGATGTAAATAACTGTTTAGGTAGAAACTATTTTGTTCACTGATGTATCCCAAGGGCCTCAATTAGTGTTTGGCCTAGTGAACATAATATATAGGAACTCACAATTTTGTGGAAAGGCCTGTTGGCGATTTGTGCAGGGTGGGGCACAGGGAAGGTAGCTTTGGTTAGGCAGTGTTGGGATGGAATGGGGAACTGTGGTGAGAGAAGGTGTTGGGATGCTTGAACTGGATTTTTGAAAGGTGATTCCCTCCCAAGGTGCCAGGGAGGGGCAAAGGCAGGTAGGAGTGTGTAAAGGCAAAGAGAAGGCAATAAACAAGAAGCCAGTATGGGTGGAGAACAGGGTTTGAAGTATTAAGGGAAAAGCTATGGAAGTTGAGTTTGGAGAGTTAGGCCATAAAACTAGATGATGAGGAAGTCTTCAACACCATGCAAAGAATTTGGAATTTCCTGTTGACAGAAGGTAACTTGCAGGATTTGAAGCAGGGAGTTATGTAATCAGGTTTGTATTTTAGGAGGATTATTGATGGTCCATGAATTAGAGCAAGGGATTGGAGAGGAGATGATGGATTCATTAAATATTTAGGGGCTTAGGATGTCATGGCTAAGAATGAGGGGGAGAGAAGAGTCAAGGACTATCCTATGTTTTGATTTAGGAAATTCTATGGAGGTGGTCTCATTAATGAGATTAGGAATGCAAGAGGAGATTTTTTGGCAAGCACCAATTCAATTGGGACATGTTCAGCCAGGCAGTGGGATGCCAGAAAAGCCAAGGGAGGGGTTCCCAGAAGAGGAAGTTACCAAAGGTGTTAGATGCCAAAGGGAACCCACATAAATTAAGTGCTTTATAAATAGAAAGATAAAAGATTTTTTTTATAGAAATATAAACATAAAGGTTATTAGTTTGGTCAGTGGTGACTTTTATCAGAACACTTTCACTGCTGTATTGGGTTAGGGAAGGGAAATTGGAAGCAGGTCTTTGAGGGTTCAGGAGGGGACCACCCATTTACTTGACCCAGAACCCTGGGCATCATGCTTGGTGACTTCTGCTTCACTCCCACACCCAGTCAGACACGGAGTCTGGCATGAAACGGGGTTTCTGAGTGTGACCTTGAGATTCACGATTTCTGGGTTTGAATCCTGATTTCACTACTAGTAAACTGTAAAACCCAGGGTGAGTTATTTATTCTGGCTGTGCTTCATCTACACAGTGGAGGTAATAAAAGTATCTTATCTTATGGTATTGTTATGAGTAAAGTGCTTAGTTTAGGGTAGTGCCTGGCACACAGTAAGCACTCAGTGAGTGTTAGCTGTGCTGAATCCTAAATATCTTTTGGATGTGTTCTTCCTGGATTGCCATA